TATGATACTCGCAAAACAAAGTTAACATTTAAGCCAGTTTTAAGTGTATACAAATATGTGCAAGTAAGAACAGGCAGACAACAATAACACACAAAATTAAGCTAACCATTGCTAAATATCTAACGCTCTCTCCCAGCCGGCGTGAAAAGCAATGTTACTGGGCGAAAGGCTTCGTCAGAACTGGATGTAGCAGATATAGCGTGTTTAATAATATTTCATTATATATATATTGGTTTCATGAAGTTCTTATTACTTCATGCGGCTAATCTAAAGGTTGAAAATTTTAAGAGTTTAGGTAGCTAAATTTCTCACGGCCAAATACCTTTTCATCAGCTCTCATTCACAAACTAGTAATTATAATTGATATAGGCCTAAACGTAGGAGACCCTAATTTAAGGGGAGTTAACCGCAACTTGTATCTGTGATGTTAGTTGTTACGGAAATTTAATAGTTCATATCTATAAAAGTATACCATACGACAATAAATAAGTTAATTTATGTTACAAATGTAATCGTTAACTGGGAGCTAATTTTATGGTATAAACTCTGTAAAAAGTTATAACAGTATTTAAGTTGTATTCAGAAAGTAAAAACTAAGAAAAAAAGATGTAATGATTTCAGTATTTACGTTTAAGATTATAAATTACCATGGAAATATTAACAATTAAAATAAACATATACATACCTCTTTAATATCAACGTTCTCTTATTTAAAATGAAAAAGTTATTCTAGCGCAAGATTTTTCGATATCTATCGTTCGTACAAAGCCAGCTATCACACGCACAGTTTTTACCGGTAGTGCGGTTTTTACCCAAGAAACTCACGTGACTGTCTTCATTATATGACTCAGCAAGGTTAAACACTACCAATAGGGAGTAAATCTGACCCTGTTGTTTCTCAAATTTATTCGAATGAAAAAAAGCAAAAGATACGGTAACGCTTCAAAGTTTTTAATTTCAGTGTTTTGACACAGGAATTTAGTCTTACCAAGAAGAGAAATTTATAACATACGAAACCAGGTTTCTTATTTTAATGCACGTATTTCACTGTTTAATGTTAATTTGAGTATTAAACATCCTGAATTAATTAATGTTTTTATTTCATTACAAAACACTATCTGCTATTTATATGTTACATTAATATATTTTACTTAGATTATGAGCAGTACGGTAAAACTCAATTAGTAAAAGATTACAAAATTGAGCGTCTTCCGCCAAACCCTCGTTTAGCATAATCACGATTAGGGCTTCTGTTTTTCTTTCTTTTTTGATAAATCGGTACTTATTTTTAGCTGTTGTATATTAATATTTAGATATCTTAAAATCAGTGTTTTTGGGGATGTTCGCTTTTAATATTTAGTATACTAATATTTTCTGCACACTAATTTCTCTTATGGGAGTAATAACAGGTACAAAACATAGTTCTGTTTATGTTAAAGTTTCGTAAAAGCAGCTAATATCTTGTATTAAATTATAAAAACAAACTTACTACTAACTGATGAAATGTGTTTTTTTACCTTCAAGGAATGTAGTAATAAAAGTTTCTACAGTTTCTATGTCCAGTAAGCTGAATAACCATTTCCGGTTTTATTGTAAGAACACCGATTACATTTATTATTATTTTGTACAAGTAAAATCGAAAATCAGAAGCCCTAACCACTATGTAAGTTATGAATGACGATGTTATTTGTAGTTTTCTTCATTAAGTTTTGGAGGGGTTAAATATTTCAATGACTCGTGGTGTCTTGTAGATAAAAGGTGTAAAATAATATTATTTTAACGTTTTGTTTTTAATAATCTCATTTTTTGTTTAGTTGAATCGAAAGTCCTACAAAGCAACATAAAAAGTACTGTGAATCTAAAGTACTAAAAAATCAGCTGTTATCTTCTTCGAGAAAAATGTTTGTTCTAACTACTTCTCATTAATATATACATCTCGTTTTCCAGTAAGCCAAGCTTTCGTTCCATTGCTGTATGCAGACATGACAAGTAGTGTATCCACCCACCTCTTTGGTTTAGAAATGTTCCTCTTAACTTTTAAAACATACACTTGTTTCAGCGCATGTTTAACTGTTGGCGATTCTTGTGACCAGAGCTTAATTTAATTCTGTCGGAACTTCCAAAACTTAGAATCGGAACCTCTTTTTGATTTTTTTTAACCCAAAAGTGCAAACGCTAATATTAAATATATCCCAGTTGCATTACTAATTGATATGTGATCCACGTCGTCAACTAAATTACGCCCCATCCCAAACAGTAGCTTCAACAATGAAACTTAGTTAAATGAACGGTAACTGCCTATTGTAGAAACGTCGTCCTCTACACTTGTGTTTCTACAACAGGCAGTTACCGTCCATTCAACTAAGTTTCATCATGAATACTTTGCCTAAACAATCTGTCAAAGCTTCAGTAATATTTCAATTATTATTATCTCCCCAAACTCAAAACAGATCTAATACATCTTTATTATTTTTTAATTTTTTACTTCTTCTAGAAGTTTAGCATTGCTCGTGATGGCCGGAGTTAATAAATTCTCCTATTTTTCTTATGAAATGACTGAGAGTGACGTGGGTAACATACGGGCTCTGAGGAAAATGAACCTTTTGTGTTTCCTACATAGTGGTCAGTTATCTCTGTCTTCAACTTTCCTCGAGATTTCTGTTTCATAACTTCTTGCCTTACGGATCTGAAGCGCTATCTATTGCACGCCCTACTAATTTTTTATTATTCTATGCAAAAAAGAATTACTTGTTTTCAGACCCATAACTTTATAATACAATTTCTGTCATGCATAAAATTATTGCATTAACAATCTTATAAAATAAGGTAATCAGCCTACCTAAAAATACGACATCATGATGAAAAAGCCTTACCCTCTTTGTATGTTTCAGTGTTAATGATTTCTCCCATGATGTACTAAAAGAAGCTGGAACAAATATTATTAAAACTAAAATAAGAATCTTGAAATTCTTCTAGCTTACGGAAGTGATTCTCAAATTTTTCAAATCGCGGCCCCCTTCGCACCCCCCCCCCCGAAAACTTATTATGGTCAGATATGAGTGTACTGACTACATTTCTCCCTATATCTTCTTACGGACTCTCTTCAATTTCAGAAGCCACTGGTGTGTTTTAAAGAAATCTAGAAAACCAGTTTAATTTAGTATGTTTTTGATATGTTTATGTGAAATGTGATATATTTTTTAAAAATCGTAACTGTCTTCGTAATAGATATGTTGGCCAACAGGCCTCATTTACGACATTTATAGTGACAAATGACGATTTACTGCTATTATTAACAAGCTATTGTAATAAATGGAACATAAAGGAAACACGCGTTTAAAATGTGAAACAAAAAGAACTTGAACATCATTTCAACTATTTGGCCATCGTGGAATATAAAAATTTAGATTTCGAACATGTTCGCCCTTTCAGCAATGGGGGCGTTATAATATGCAGTCAATCTCACTATTCGTTAGTAAAGAGTATTTGTTTGTTTGTTTTGAATTTCGCGCAAAGCTACACGAGGGCTATCTGCGCTAGCCGTCCCTAATTTAGCAGTGTAAGACTAGGGGGAAGGCAGATAGTCATCACCACCCACCGCCAACTCTTGGGCTACTCTTTTACCAACGAATAGTGGGATTGACCCCACGACTGAAATGACATGTTTAGCGGGACGGGGATTCGAACCCACAACCCTCAGATTGCGAGTCGAGCGCTCTAACCACTGGCTATACCGGGTCAGTAAAGAGTAATCGAACAGTTGGCGGTGGGTAGTGTTTACTAGCTGCAGGTCCTATTTTCCCTCACTTAAAAATTATGGACGTCTAATATAAATAGTCATCGGGTAACTGGGCAAAATAACAAAAAAGAAAAGAAACAAGCATCCGTATTGAAGTCATTGAAACACTCAAACACTTAGAAGGAATTACGATATATTTTCTATTTCCATCTTGATTGCAAGTTATACTATGTAATGACATAAGGTCTAAAGGTTTTGTGCTGGTGGTAATTTATTTCACGAATTACAATTCTTTTCCCGTCCTTCCTTGTTAGTTCTTTTGATGTAACGAAACAACATTTCTAACGACAGGAAATGACAAGCTACAGAGACTACCAGTTCTGGACTACCTTGAACAACTCCTACAATGACTGATTATTTAGGAATGTTAGTATTACAAAATTTCCGGTTGTAACTCGATCACGGGAGGATCGGGTTTTCCTTTGTTGCAAGAAACATGTAAAGACAGAAGATCCGGTAAAGTACGTTCTAGGAATGGAAACCTTGAAGAATATAAGTACATACAGTTGTAGAAGAAAATTACATGAATTCTGAAGACACTTAGAAACATTATTTAACATTAATGAACTATTAACGAAATTTTAGTTAGGAAAAATAACCTTGCATACTTTTTTCAACTATTTAATAGCATAATGATGGCAGTACGTATAATTTTATAGAGGTTGAGTACGTTATATTAAAAAAGATTTTGGAGCCTCACTAAGTCGTTATAGTTTTTGTCGACACGTCCAGTGATGCTCTATCTAACAACCGTGACCCTAGCATTGCAGCGCAGTTTCTATTGCAAAAATTGCAAAAGTCTCCGTCGTAAAACTGTCATTTAAAAAACACATACTACTTACTTGCAGAGGCGTCGCAAGGAGCCTATTCCCCGATTCTACTCGACAGTGCTCGAATCCCCAGTTGGTGTCTTGAAAATTCAGAATAGAAATCCATCATCGATATCTTACTGAAACCTCGAAAACTCTCGCGCCTATAGGCTCGAGCCCAGAATCTTTTAAGCGCCTAGCGACACCTCTGCTTACTTGCTTTCCATAATCCATCTAATATATGAGGAATATGGTTTCCAATTAACTGTTGTAATAGTCCAACCGCATAGAAATCTATAAGTACTGTGTCCAGCAACTACACCAGTATGTCTTCGTGTGGAATAGCAGGAATACTCGTTTCATTCTCCAGCTGCTTGAAGTATGGGACAGTTGAACGGATATATCATGGAAGCAAATTATGTACATGTGAGTTGTGTCATTTTTCCAAACTGAGGCCCTTTTCGTTTATGTTGCCTGGGGCACTTGGATGGCTTTTACTACTGATCTTTGTATTTGTGGATTCTTACCTGTTACAAAATGCTACACTTTTCTTACCACAGCTGGGGTACGACTTATTGCAGGTCTATTTATAGATGGTTCTGGTTTCCAGGTTGATCCCATTTTTTTGTTTTCCAGTGTAATTATGTATAAAAGATATTTCTATGATCCTTTCTGGAACTTCTAAATCCCCGATTTGAACCCATCTTTATGATCTGAGTGTATGAATATTTTACGTCGGAAAGGTCTGTTACCATTCCCAAAAGCATTACATTTTTGGTAGCATCATACTATTTGCGAAACGCCAAACAATGTCAAAATGTAGTTCTGACAGATATATGCCGTTGCACCTCGGCGTTATTTCGACTGTAGTTTTCAAATGACTTGCTGATTTGCCTATTCAGAATCGCTTTACTATAACACTGCCTACGATTTTTGGTTTTTGTTTGTTTGAAGTTAAGCACAAAACTACGCAATGAGCTATCTATGCTCTGTCCAAAACGGGTATCGAAACCCGGTTTCTAGCGTTGTAAATCCGCAAACATGGCGCTGTGCCACTGGGGAGGGGCGTTACCTACGAACGCTAAAAAAATGTCAAAATGTTGTTCTGCTACGCACTATTGTTTCGTGACTTTCCGCGTTAATTGGATATTCAAAACGTACTTAATCCTCTATATAATACAGAATTTTCTGCTGTTGTT